CTTTGTGTCTGTCTCTTTTACATTTGTGAATCACTCTTCTTCCCTCCCCCTCTCGAATTTTTTTTCACTTTGATGTTCCTCCCCTCTGTGAGGCCTGAAGTCAACTAAAGGGCTAATGATAACTATCAAAACGCCTGCCATTTGATATAAATAAATAAAATATTTTCAAAAAAAATTTTCATGAGGAAAATAAAGAGATCACATTTTTATTTTTTTAAATAGAATGGACAGACTTACTGTGAGCCAGTGTGGTTGGTGAGACGCAGTCGAAGATCATTAGAGAGTTGTTCCAATTCATCAGCTGAATTCTTTTCGTTCGCTTCCACAAAGTCTAGACGCAATCGATCAAGACCTGGTAGTACCCAGGACATCATGGCGTCCTCCGTGCTCAAACCTGAACAAAAATAGATACTAGGGTCAGTCGTAGTGCCATGTAAAATACAGGGAACATGTACAACACGATTTCCTTCAAAGTTCATTCGGATACGATAGTGATAGTAGTAATATATGGCAACACACACATACACACACACACACAAGGAGAAGGGTCAATTAAAGAATGACAAGATGTTCCAAAAAAAACATGCTTCATCTGCAAATTCATTTAAAGAAAAGTATTGTGTCAATACATGAAGCTATAAATATTATGCCCTCCGATGGATCCGAATGGAAATATCATTTACAATGAGCATTTTGTGTACCAGATAGTGCAATTATAGAGTCATGGGCACAATCGCAATGATGGAGGACCTAGAGAAGTTAAGTCAGACGATTAGAACATCAGGTCTTTAGGCAGATCAAGTCAATGCCTCCAGCACTCCTTTATAAGACCCTACTTCTTCCCATTTTTACCCTATTGGAATCATTTCATTGTGTTCCTGTAATTGAAGCTAGTAAAAAATTTTCTCTTTTTACGAAATAATACCAATAGCATAAACATTTCATAGGGTTTAATCAGAAGAATGAGCACACAAATCTACTTATAGCTGACTTGATTGACACAACTGACACTTCTCTAGGTATAGTCGATTGGCAAGGATCTTTTATGCAAAAGCGCAAAATTAGAAATGACATACGGAATGCAGCGTTGGAAAATACGGAGATTAAACGCTGTCCAAGACGAGTTCTTTGTTCCAAATCAGGTATCATATTATTGATTTCCGTCAATCGGTAAAGCCATCGTAGAATTTCTAGACGAATGAAAGAACGCATGATTAGACGATACAAACAAAGACATTGGAAAGTAAAAAAGGTGACCTTCTGATGACTTACTTCCATCACGGAAGTCTTCAGGACAGGTGGGGAAGAGTCGATTTACCACTTGCAGGAGACCAATGACCAACGTCTCCCAGTGTTGCTGTTGAACCAAGAATTGGACAACAGAAGAATCCAACGCGGTCGTTTGTCCTTCTCCACTCACCATGACCATCAACCGCTCTATCAGAGCTAGCACCTATCGGTTAAGTAGTCAGAGGTCAGTTCTGAAAGAGAGTTTTCCCTACTAAAAGGCCCATAAGAAGAATGCATTTACATCTACTGTGTTAGAATTACTCTTACAGTCACTTTATGTCGCCGTTTTCCGCAACCACAGTGTTTTTTTCGTTAGAGAAAATTGAGCTTACGTTTAACTACCTTAATTTACATTGAGTTTTTGACTTTTATTGCCAATCTACTATAGATGAGACGACGGTCTCATTTTCTCTGATCAAACCTCCAAGACTTCTAGATCATTGTGAGCATATTCCAAGCGCTATTCAAACACTTTATTGTTTGCAGTTCCAAGCGATGGACATGTGTGGAAATACAACAAAAAAAAACGAGAAAATCAGCTTCTACCACCCTGATTCAAGATCAAAAAAGAACGGTATCACACGTATGCTCGCAAAATTCAAGCAAGACTAATCAAATGGTTGTACCACTCACTTCCCACCAAGATTGTTATCTTGGTGGATCTACCCAATGCACCCACCAGCTTCTTCAGGCGGATTCGTACTCAAAGTTGCCAAGGTTGCGCCTCCAAAATTAGCCACAAACACGCCACCATTAATAAGATGCCGAAAATGATAGTGGCCAGGAAAGTTACACATTGCTCTCTTCCACCAAATATTGAGGATTATGCCTCAATATCCGCCATTTTCACCGAGTCAACCGTCCAGAGGAGGGATTTATTGAGAGCATGAAAGAGCGACTCCTCTTCTCAGAAGAGGGGAGACAGCGGAAGAGAAACCCAAAGCCATGGCACATATTTACGCTTGTTTGAACGGAAATTAAATCAGCGATCGAAGGTAGAAATGGCCATCCTTTTTATACTATTCTATTTTATCTCTTCACATCATAGATTTGATTGCCACATATAATCCCAACTGGCATATATAATAGGCCGAGGGAGATAAAAAAACGGTTAATTTAGCTCAACCGTCGCCATGTCAAAGATAGTTCCATGATATCTCTCAAAAAATCATCTTGATCTGATTTCGACACGTGCATAGAATGCACACCCGTCGATAGATTCCTCTAGTAAATAAATTATATAAGGGCTTTGCCCGAATTATTTTTTTTTTGAAAATGCACCCACCGCACTCACGCGTGTCCTACCAGTAGACTGATGCCGCCGACGTGATGAGTTTTGGTGGTGTATCAGACAAAGGCTATAGACACGTATTGGACATGTCTCAAACAGCAATAGCGCGCCTTCTATTACGAGTCAAGTACAAATGGAAGCTGGTTTGAAAGAAGGCCGTACGGTCCCAAGGTCGTTAAAAGGTTAATTACCAGAAATTGAAACAAATTTTAAGAGAGCACACAAGCATGACACTGCACTAAAAGAGATCTACTTATGAAATTTTCAAGAGAAAAAGTAAAAGTATAAGATATACTTTAAGCCCGGCAACTGACAGAAATAAAACTGACAAACTTCGAATTATTGGAAATGTTGTGTGTATTGTCGCCATGACGCATTCAACAAATCTACACTTATTTGCTTCGTCAGCATATGCACAGCGTATTTAATATAGCTTTAGTAGTCTCCTCGGGAAAATATCAAATTGGTTGGAAAATGCGAAATTCAGTAAATTCAATAAAAAGGTGAAGTACAGTATTGCCGAAGAGCCTTAATCGGCATAACCGCCACTGGCGCCATTGCAGCCTCAAGCCAACCATGTCCAGAACATGGAACAAGCTGCTTTTACACTTTCCGTGGCAAGGGTCTCAAATCTTCTTCCAGTCTGTACGAAAATACAGAAATGCTGAAACACTATTAGAACCATTCAACGCAATGTACAATGCACAACTATTAGCCCATTGGGTTAAGATCTGGAGAATTCGAAGGCCAAAGATGTATTGGAACTGATGTAGCCATAAACATTGACTGGCAACCATTTTCTTAATTTCCCCTGGGGGGTGGGGTAGCAGGGGGCTGAATGCTGTTACCATACACATATGACCAATTATTGTCTACCCTAATTGGATGTCCAGGTCTTAATTGCTTCAGTGGTCAGCAATTCCACGTAGTCAGGTAAATTCGGAGTGAGGCACCATATCGCACTCGGTAAATTGAGTCTGCATGACTGGAGGAGTATCCATTTCGACTCTCCGAAAGTTACGCTTCCTCTTATTCCAAGTATTGAACTTTTAATCTCGGTAACCAGATAACTTATGCTTCAGCAGGACTTTTCACTTGGCTCAAATTTTTCTTAACCTTTTTCGAACGATTTTTGAGGGCCTTTACCACGAGAAGCTGATCTTTGTGACGCTTATATGACTAGTCGCAATGAAGGTCTTCATTGTTTGCAAGCTACAAAATCCAATCACCCGTTGCGGCAATGTTCGAATTCCGATGTCAGTGTACTCTAGCACACCTTTTTGCAGAAAATCGAATGGTCTTCTTGAAATAGCAGCCTCGTGGTCACACCATTTCAATTCTCCACTTCATAAGTTAGTTTTTTTTTCACGGTGTTCAGGGAGCATTTTGATAGATGGCTCGAATCACCATAACACGAGTTGCTCCCTTTCATGATTCAGGTGGGTCCCGGTCATACATTCTCGCTGCCCACGCGCACTTAAAAGAAGAATGGTTTAGACTTTCAAGCGAAGTGTAGTGCCTTCGAGCATCCTTAATGTATCTGAAGAAAACAACCAGCAAAATGTATCCTCAAAACTATGGGAAAACAAATTCGTTAGGCCATTATCTTTGTCATATAGCAAAGAAAAGTTGATAAACTCAAATCTCAGCCGTTGTCGCCATACATATGCAGAATTTTGAAGGAGAATACACCGCCACATAATCTTAAGAACTGGGTGAGTAAGTTCCAGCAAACTTGACAGAAGTTGTAAATAGTGGGATTATTGAAATCTCACACTCTCAAAAACCCACATTAAGTTTAATTTCAGGCATTTCTCTCAAAACGTTTCCTAAACTGAGTAGAACAGCCCCTCAATATCTTAAGACATGAGAGTTTTAATGGCGAATACGCGACACCCACGAATAGTTACTTCGGCAACAAGGTTTAAAGATGAACATCCACCAAGTTCACATCCTCTCTATGCAGTAAGGGTATTGCTGAAAGCCTTATACCCACACATCTTCTTACATAACACGTAGCATTTGGCACAGTTGAAAGGGAGTTTACCGTGTTTTCTGTGGCCAAGAAAGATTTTGAGAATGAGAGGTTTCAATTCAGAAGAAACTCACTTTTATATACAACAGATCAGAAAAATTTCAGTGCAATTTTAAACCAATTTTACATTGGCTAGCGCAAAAAAGTCACCAAGTATTTTCCATAGATTTCAAAATCCCCTTTATTTTCAATAGCCCTGTTTGTGTTGCACTAGCAAAATTCATGAAAGTATTTTACTCTGTCTTCACTCAACTTTAGCTTCCAATTAACATCCCAGAATTCCGGTTCATTTATAAAATATTACACACTCGAGAGCCAATTGAATCTTCGCCATTTTACCTCCTCAAACGACAGAATAACTCAGCACTTTCCTCTACTTTAATTTAAAGGGCATATTTAAGCATCTCATACTAAGCATCTCTCCCACCAGTCATTGTAGCAGCAGGTTCATCCTTTGAAACATGTGCTAATATTGATGGTAATGCTTTGAGAGGTGAAGAATTCCAACCTATATTGACGAATTCGTGACTGATTTATGCGTCCATGTGATTTTCGCAGTTTGGATTCAATCCTGAGATTTGATGCAATCAAGGAAAGATAAGAGTTTGTATCTGTTTCTAGAGACACTCAAAATCAAGGACAAAACCGTGGCCTGTTCTTTGATAGCACCATGTGTGACATCTTTTAGAAGTTTTTGTTTCGAGACAAAAGAAGCCTTAAAAAACGCACTCCATTTTCCATAGTGACATAATTCACTCGTGATTTGCAGGTTTACAATTAAAAACTCTCCTTATGATTATTATTTTCATATTTACACTTCGTGCCACTCAATAGGGTATAAAGATGCGGAAGATATGACTGCCTCTCTAAAAAGAAGTTGGCCGAGAAATCTGTTGGTGGGAAACAGCCAATAACGTCAAGGGAAATATGGTCAAAATAAATTGCAATTGTAGTGAATCTGCTAGAAATTGGTTTCAATTCTGAAATTTGAAGTCGGGAATCATTGGTGCGGAATGAGATGGTACTGATTTTATGGGGTTACTTTGATTTACAGAAGCATGAATTATTAATCCGGGGGTTATTTAAGGTTTTGATATTTCATTAACCCTGGTTTCTGTTAGTACAGCAAGAAAGATTTTAGGGCAGATGTTTCAAATTAATAGACCTGACATTCCAGAATCCAAATTTTAGAAATCTCACCCCTCATATCTCGGCGAGAATGCTTGAATTTGGAGTTGGGTTCTCGATTCTTCGCTTAAGCTTCGAAGGCCATGAATAAGCTAGCCTTTATACCCACTTGTACTTTTCTATCTGTCTAAATTTCATTTAAATATTGAAAGAAAAACGTTTTAGCTAAGAGGCGGCGTCAACCCCCAAGTTTAGACTTGCTGAGTTATTAATTGGCATGAGGTAGAATGAAATTTATCACCCAATGGCTGCATAACTTGTACTTACTTTTGTTAGCTAACAATATTCCAAATTCAATTAATCTCCAATGACTACGAAAAATTACTAAAGGCAGATTTTTTAGAGGAACTATTTAAAATACTCTCTGACTAACAGAAAAATAGAATTAGGCGAAATGCACTGTAAGACACGCGGAAGGGGCTCCTTAGCCTCCCGACTGATACCATTTAAGGCAAATTTATTTATATCGCACACCCCGGGACATGGAATATCACCTTTCCCAATTCTAATGAATGATTATTTTGGACCTGAACAAAACTTTAGCTTTCGATCAGAAGTTTTGTAAGGCGAGCATTCAAATTGCAATTAGAACTACAACTCAACTTTGTGATGAACTTCGTTACTAATTAAGGTCGCACAAAAAAGAAACTCCCACCTGGTCAGCAATACGGCCATTTTCAGGGAGATTTCTCCGCTCCTTGAGGTCTAAGTCAGTCACGTGGGGACTGGAGCGCAGCATACGACTGTAGAGGCAAAAGAGAGGACCCAACGCAACGGCAACACATGACCAGTCCGCAGAATGCTCATCAATCGGGAGTAGATCTGTGCTCGCTCCGTTGCTAGCATCTGGCATACCCATTGCACCAATCGAGGTGTAATCATCGCGAACCAACTGACTTGCTAGCTGCCAACATTCTTCCAGAAGTTCAGAAGGTGCTGTTTAGGAGTAATACAGAGATATTCAGAGTACAACTCATAAGAGCTCTCTAACCATTTAAGGGGAATAAAGAAGAATTATATCAAAGCTGCTTCAAAGAGACGCTTTTACCATTTACCGTGGTAGATGAATAGTACCCACGAAAACTCCTAAAGAAAAATAACTTTGGATTTTACTGCATTTGGTCACGTTTGTCAGATGCTATTCATGGTACCTTTAGTCCCCTAGTCCCACTCTTTTACTAATTCCTGATCTGAATCACTTTTTCCCATTATATAATAAAGATGTTTGAAGAATTAGAGTACTCTCAATAGAAAACTTATAGGTCATATTAATCTCAAAGAACATTAAAATACTTTTTTCCAGAAATTTCTCACAGCTCACTTCTATCCAATTGAGGATGCTTACATAGATGAACGTGTCCTATACTACTATTTACAGAAACAATCTGCATATTACGAACCAGGAATCCGGGATGCGTGTTTATTCTGCAATTTAGAGAATGTTGACGACGCCAAATCGTTCGAAGTGACGTTTGCATTGGATGCGGCGGCGGCGGCGGCGGTGGTGGTGGCATCAAAGTCAACAGCATCAGCGAGGTAGGCCATTAGGGTGTAGAAAATGTTGCTGGCTGTTCGACGGACAGCTGGGTCGGCACAAGAAGCACAGGACCGAAGTGCTGGAAGAATCACTTCATGGGCTATCAAAACAGCATCCTCACTGTGACTACAAGGTAACAAATTCGACTTTTCTCATACACTATATATTAACACAAGATGTAAAAGTTGGCTCTTGTGAAAGTAAGAAAAGTGAAAGAGGGAATCTTTAGCAACCTAGAAAGTAATAGAGCATAGTCGTGGTAAATCGAAGTGAAAAATAGAAGACTCACTTACGAAATAATCAAGTGAGGTAGTTCCTAGCCGAAGTGATCTTTTACAATTTGAACAATAATCGGATCCTCATGGGAAGATATTTTAAAACACCTAATCCCCTCGAATGTCCATTAAACTAAACAAGCTCTTTGGCTCTGCATTGACGTTTTAATAACATTTCAATCTATTAACAGCTTTCAGGTTATACAGACACAATGTTTAAGTTCGAAATCATGACAATGGGCTGTTTTGCATTGAAGTTCTATCCCAGTGGTTTTTCACTTATAATTTGATTGACTGTAAGATAATTTAATGCATGGACGAGACGTATATTCATACTCCACTACCGGTTGAAATGAGGAATCGTCCAAAGTTCAAGCATATAACCTCGATTCAAGATACATGATCAGGAATATTTAATGGCCCATTACGCAAAAAGTCCCGCAAACCATCAACAGAGGTGAAGCAGTAAGGTATGAGAACATTATAAACACATCAACCTAAAATTTCAATATAGCGTAAAGAAATGATAGGCGTTATTTAATAATCTTAGCATAAACATAGTATAATAGTATTCATAGAATAATTTATAAAGCCATTGTCTATTTCTAGCATAGGTTAATCCAAGGTGGTCTCAAAGACCGTGGAGTGTGAGGGTAACTCCCAAAATCTACTGCTACCTAATATTATAAGAGATCTTGTCCAATTTTTAAACTAAACAGAACGACAAAAAAATATAAAAACAAAAAATCCGCCTTTTACAACTTTCTCCTATCTAGAAATTAAGTTTTAGCACATCTATCCCTATAAAAGAAAGAAGAGATTAGCATTTCTCTTTCTACGAACTAAGCTTTATCACAGGGGAATGATAATGAATAACTTGAGAAAAAAATATGACGAAAACTAGTATACTACTTAATAGCATTTCAGTAGCGGCCTTTAATCATGGTCTTACCAGAGGACCATAATTGCTGCTCGAACGCCATGCAAGGAGCAGGAATCTCTTGAATGCAGAAAAAGAGCATTCGCAATCAGCATTTTCACCTTATTGAACTCTGATTTCTAAAATTGGCAAGATTTTGGAGGGTTTAAATAAAACTTTTGAATAATCAAAAAATTCGTTATTTGCAACCTACCAACTTTGTGGCTGCTAGCATGTAACAATAGCCAGCAAAAACTCCAGACGGAAGGGCCTTCAGATTGAATTCAAAATCTAGGAACAAATTAAAAAGAATTTATTCCAGCGTCCTCCCCCACCCCGGCTTTTTTTTAGTCAAACATTAAATAGATAGGTGGTATAGTTAAAATTCACTCACAGCCCTGTGTACTGCGCTGCATAAGGAGAGTATGAAACGGTTCGGCGAAATAATTCTGTACAGCAGCGGCACCGAATGTCTTTCCATATAAGGCGGCATAAAGGCAGAGCTCCTTGCATAGAGAGAGTACGGGGGATGTTGACGGAAGTCCCCAAGGCGCACAGTAATTTTCCTCAAGAAAGATCTAGGCAAATAGAGGGGGGTTAAGGGGGAAAAAGTGGCGAACAAAAAACCAAATCATCTATCAACTTGAGGAGCCAATGCTAGTGCACTGGCAGAACATTGTCAACATGAACAACAATAAATCCCAGCGATCTACTAGAAAGCGCACCTTCATTAGATCGCAAAATTCCCGAGGCGAAATTGGATCCTGCTCAAGGTACTCGTGTGTTGTCGTATTGTCTGTGGTTTCAATCGAAGAAGAAGAGTTTGGCCTTGGTGAAATGGCTCGCAACATTTGGGCAATACAAAGCAGATGTTTGCTGCGCAATTCATCCATAGCTGGCCACTCCTCTTTTAATTCAGGTAAGGCAATGGTAACCGGTTCGGATAATTCTAGCACTCCTCCTTCTTCAGTTTCCGTCGATTTCTCATCTTCCTCTTCCTCACCACCAGAGGAATTTGGTTTCGCATTCCTGCGTTTCTTAGACCGCTTTTGTGTGACTTTATTACCACCACTCAAGAGGAAATCGAAAGAATTCACCAGCTGCTCGTAACACCTCTTGCCAAGTATATATTGAAGTGAAAAGAGGTGATCACACAGATCCCTGCCTAGAACAACAAAAATGCGCATTTTAGTCAATAAATTTCCCCCCCCCCATAAACTCTCATTTTTCTTTATCAAGTGCTATTAATTGAAGTATTCAGTAAGTAAAATGGAAAGTACAAGCAATATTCTAAAGATACTGGTAGATAAAACTCGCACTTTGCTACACTTTGTGCCAACAATATGATCAATTCAATTAGCTAACTACACCACTGGATGAGCATTGATTTCGTGATCTCTGAAAATAAATTATGAAAAATTATTTCTGTATTAATACATGAGTTATCTGTTAACCACCTTCCACTGAGAACTCAAATTACGTAAAAAAGTGCTCAAATATGCACTATTAAGTCGTAATACTACGAATTTTCTTAATACAACCGATCGGTTTATTTGCATCATCTAAATTTCCCCCACTAAAATAATTAGCACCTACTATTTTATAGTGGGGTGTGCGATAGACTTACCTCCACGTGGTGCACCCTAGGCAACGTATACTCATACGGCAAAAAAAGTCTATTAACTGGCAGTTGATTTCTCACTTCAAACTACCATCACCCCACTGCATGTCATATTCGACTCCTTTCACAGTGCTCACCTTACCTTTTCCCTGCCTTTGCGTCTGTCTGTCTGTCTATTTTACATCTATGAATCATTATTCTGCCCCC